TGGGGCAGCGGAGAGACAGGAGACCTGTGCTGCTGCCACCCTCAGTTCCCAGATGCCTCGCTCACCCTCTGAGCTCCTCGGACCCCCCCACCCCCAGCAGGTGGTAGGACAGACCACCGTCTGGGCCACAGGGGTCTGCAGGAAGAAGCCAGGCCCACATATTTGCCACTGTGAGATCTGGGAAAGTGGCATGGCTACTATAAGCCTCAGCTTTTCAATCTGCGAAATGGGTACAAATCACAATGCACAGGGATGGGAAGTGCTTTGAAATGGAAGTGCTGCACAGGTCTGATTCCTAACGTTTCATCCAGGCCAACCCGCACACTTTGCGAAGGTGGACGCAGAAGCCCAGGAAGGCTAAATGACCTCCTAAGGGGGGGGGCGCGGGACCCCCATCACCACTGTGGCCCCCTGTTTGGCTCTGCCCCACTCAGCTGCTCCCTGAGAGGACAGGACCTGGCACTTCATCACGAGGGGGATGTTTTTCTCCCTCGTTTCTAGTGATGACTATGATACAGCTGAATGCGCGAGGGACCGCAGAGAAGGTGGAATGGAGACATGGATTCTTCCTTAAGTTAGTTTTGTGTGTGTGTGTGTGTGTGTGTGTGTGTGTGTGTGTGTGTTTGGAGAGTAAGAAAGGATCTTAACTTCATAACGTGCAAGGGGAGAGAGCTCCAGGGCCAGGTAAGGAAAAGGTGAGGAGGAGAGATGGGACATTCACTCTGACCTGCTTACTGTCGGCAGCTCCTATGATGGAGGAGAGACGGCAGCCTGCGTATTAACGGGGTTTTCTCATGCCGGGGGGCTTGTGTCTCGGCCACGCCCCGACAGCCCCTGAGCTCAGCTTCCTTGTCTGTCACGTAGGGCTGACACCACCAACCTCCCAGGAGGCGAGCACAGGAGAGCGTGCACACAGCAAGCACGCAGTAGGTGCACTTGCTTCCCTGGTGTGATGGAAGGGCTCTGGGGATGGGAGGCGGCAGTCCTTTCGTCCGGTTTCCTCTGGAGGGAGACTCTCTGAGTCCTGGGCTCCACGCCACATCTCTGGGGACAAGTGGTTTCTAGGAATACAGAGCCAAGGTTTTCTGGCCTCCAAGACACTCCTCGATGGAGCCCTGGAGATCTCCTTGGCTTTCCCTTCTAGCATCTTCCCGTCACGTGCTCGCTCACTCCAGGCACACTGGCCTCGCTGGACACAGGGCGCCCTGGACACGTGAAGCTTGTTCCCAACTCATCACCTGTGCACTTTCCTCTGTCAGGAGCTCTTTCCCCCCAAGATCACTGTGTCTTTTACATCATTTAAGTCTCAACTCACGTGCTATCTTCCCCAAGCGCCTTCTGATTATTCAATCCCATTTCCAATGTAAACCCACTCCTCCACACAGCCACCCCGCACACCCCGTCCCTGCTTTATTCTCCTCCTGGCACGTGTTATTGTTTGAAGCTATCATGTTGGTTTATTTGTTTACTTGTTTATTGCGTCTCTCCTCCCCACGACAGGGAGAGAGAGGCCTTGTCTCTCTTGCTTGGTGCTGGCCCAAAGACCCGGGAAAGCACCTTCACAGAGTCATTGGTGGACGAGATGGCACACCCACTCCCCACCCCAGGCACAGCCCTCCGGCCTGTGCTGAGCTCCTCCATGCCCATGCCCCTCTGGCCCACAGCCTCACAGCTTCCTCATCTGTCCAAATGCAGGGAAATCTTAAACCCTGGGAAATGTTACCAAATACACATTCCTCCCACCCCCAAGAAATGTTTAAATTGCATTCTGAGGGTGTAAAATAAACCAGAAAATCACGAAAGTTCAATGATGAGAGCCTGAAAGGTCAAATGCCAAAGAGGAAACGTGAGGATTTTGCTTTGTAAATAGGAGATGATGTGAGGTCTAATGTTTCCTGGACAAAAGTCAAGGGATAGGCAAGACGGAGTCCTGCATGAGAGACAAGTTTTTTCACCTTATGCATAAGCCAGAGTTTGGAGAGAAAAATGGGGAGTGTGATAAGAAACCTGCAGGAAATTCACAGTGACCCCTGATCATCCCTCCCTCTCTGTCTCATCCAAACTGGCTGTGTCCCTCCCCCCGTGTAGCGTTCATATGCTGTGCCCTATCATGACACCTCAAGGACTGCGACTGGGTTGATTCATCTTTGTGGGCTGCGATGCACAGGGCATGGCATACCTTGCAGATTTGTTGAGCAGAGCCAAGCCTCCTAATCATGAGATGGCTATGTCACTTTTTCCAGGTAAGTGCTGACTTCTGCTCCAACATGCAAGAATGCTGTGCCCAGTGCTCCTCTGCCGGTCCCATCTTGGAATCACCACGTTCTGAGCTCAAAATTCCCCTATGCTGCCCATACCATGTTGTCTGCAGTCCCTGGACCAGTTGGGATCTGAAAGCTCTTCAACCTGTCCATTTCCTCTTTACCAGGAAAAACTGTGCCTGCAATTCCAAACTCTACCCAGCAGGTGGCAGTTCGGCTTACAGAAGCCTTTCAAAACTAGTTTAATCTCTAAAACTGTACTTCGAATGAAAATACACCCTAAATTAAAACAAGATACATACATACACACATACGCACATCTATTGCTTAACTTGTCATATTGGCATCGATTTAAAAGTATGATAATACCCACAGTTGGCCAGGGCTTGGGGAAACGTGTAGCGTTCATACGCTGTTGGTGGGAATGTAAATTAGTACAGCCTCCTGGAGGGCAATTTGGCAATGCACATCAAAAGCCCGAAACATGTGCAAACCCTTTGGTCCAGCAATTCAACTTCTAGACGTTTATCCTGAGGAGATAATCATGGAAGTAAGTCTCAAGTTATTCCCATAGGATGCTGACTGCAGGGTGAAAAATTGTCACTATAAATACTGTAACTTGGAACCGGGCTAAGTAAATTACATATGATAAAATGCCACATAGCTATTACACCCTATACGAATTCTTAACGATGTGGGAAAATCTCATGATCCATTAAGTGAAAAACATCAGCCTCAAAAAACATGCCCACTGCAATAGCAGTTTTAGACAAAGAAATATGGACGCAAACTTATGCCTAAAAAAACGCTGGGAGAACAAACACCAAAATATGGACAGGACTTGTCTGTGGGTGGTAGGACACGGATGACTGCTTTTTCCTTTTCTGTGCTTTTCTCTGTTCTGTAGGGTTTATAATAAACACGCTTCTATTGTCATCAGCAGAGCCATTAATGAACCCTTGGGGCAGGAGAGACGGGCCAGCCTCTGTGCAAGACTGTTGTGGACATGGGACCCCCAGCCCGTGTCAGTCTGCACTACACCCCACAGATGTGGGCGGCTCCTCTGTCCACTTCCCCCGCCCCCCACTCTCAGGCCCACATATGGACCTGGTTTCAGCTGGTCTCGCTCAGGGGAGGGGCCAGCCTGGGTTAATCTGGAAACGCAGCCGGCACTCTCCGCTGTGGCCCTCCTGGACTCTTTGTTTGCTCTTACTTCCCCGTAGGCAGTGAGTTGTTTTAGGCATAAATTACAAAGTAAATAAATTAAAAAATGAAATAAAATGAAATAAGTTCTCCCTGAGGCTGGCTTTGAGGTTTACTAGGTAAACCCCTTTTCTGCAACCGCAGGGTCTCAGAGCTGTTTTCTCCTTCAACCACGGCCAGTGTGTGCTGGAGGGTCAGAATGATCTCCCAGCTTGTCTTTCCTCCAGCCTCCAGCTCTGTGGGCGAGATCTTCCGGGAGGCTGAGCAGCCGGCCCCAGCGTGCACGGCTGAGCCGGGACCGACTGGGCTCTGGCTGCTGGGACACTCCTCGATGGAGCCCTGGAGACCTCCCTGGTGCCTCTGAGGCTGCTTGGGTCCCTCGAGCCGGAATGTGCCCCAGACTATGGATGACCACACGGAGAGGCCTGAACTAAGGGTGATTTTTAAAACGCCTCGGGACGCGGGACAAATTGTTAAAAGTAGGGACTGTCCCACCAAAAGCGGGTGACGCCTGGTCACCTTATTCTCTGAGCCCCGTGTGGGCCTCTCTGAACAGGAGATACATGGTCCCAAAGGCCCCTCTGAGTCCCACGGGGCCTGGCTTGTGACACAGTTTGTAGAACTGTCACCTCCCCGGTCTCACTTAACCCCACTCCAATGCTGTGAGGGAGGCCTTCACCGCCCACTTCACTGAGCAGGAAACGGAAGCTCAGAGAGAGTGAGCGCCTCCCCCGAGGGCACCCAGCGAGGAAGCCTAGCTTGGAATCAAGCCCGTTTCCCTGGTGCTCGGGGCTGACTACCCTCCACAGCCTCTGGGGAGGGCGGCTCCGGCAGCACTGGAACCCCCGCCTGGCCTCCATCACCAGGGTCTGACAGAGGTGGCCGTGCGAGAGGCGTCCGATTCAGCCCACGTTTCCCGCCCTGGCCTGAGGCACAGGACAAACACACTCCCCCACACGATGGTCCCGCCACACTCCCCTCCACAGGCTCACCCCTGCCTGATGCGTCTGGACTTCTAAGCAGGACCCGCCCGGCCAGCTACCTTTCAACCTGCTCTTCCCTGCCCTCCCCACCTAAGCTGGGCGCGTTGATTCAATACAAGCTACGTTTTAGGTTTAGTTGTAAAAGACCTGACAAGGGATGACACCACAAAGGCCAACCTGGAACCCAGGTCTCCCGTGCCCTGGGGGTGACAGAGGGGGCGGGGCAGGGAGCTCTGGGAAGAGGGTGCTCCACAGCCCAGGGCTGGGCCCTGCGCTCAGGGAGATGGGGCGGCAGGAAGAGCAGTGCTGGGTGGGCTCAGGACACCAAGGCGACTTCTCAGAGCGGCGTTGCTCTGCCTGCAGGGCAGCGGGAGGGAGCGGCAGGCAGTTCCCACCAGGCCAGCCCCGCAGATCAATGCTAATCCCTCCAAGAAAGACCCGAGTCCCGGAGGAGCAGAGAGAGAGGCGTGCAGACAGTTAAATAAAGGCTCCGAGGAAGAATACTGGCTTGAGAGAAAAGGGCAAAGAGAGCAAAAAATAAACAGCAAATTACCGGGTAGCCATCTCGTCCTGATTGCCCCTGTGGTAATTAATACGTCATTAATAATCAGACTTTCGGCAGAACACCATATGGCAGCACTTAGCACTCAATCAGGCCCCACACCGCTCCCCCCAGGGCTCGATGGGCTTGCAGCAGAGGCTGCTGGTGGGTAACCAACCGATGGATGCCTTTGGGGGGACTCGGGGCTCTGACAAGTCTAGGGGATGGAGCACTCCATTTCCTGCTGCACTGGGCCAGGATGCAGGGGCCACAGGGCATACATCCACGCGTGTCCTCCCATGGCAGCCGGCACACACATGGGGAGGACCACACGGGCACACGGGCCCCCAAGGGCGCTGTCCCAGCCTCCAAGGAAAAGGCTCCTAAACCGCCCAGAGGCCTAGGCGCAGAGTAGGGCTTCCTGCGGCTGCCCCCACGGGGGGATGGAGGAAGGCAGCGTTAGAAGGCGGAGCTGTGGCAGGGCGGGCATTTGCTGCCGCCGGCCGGATGCTCTGTCCCCACAGGCTCGGAGCACGGCCCGCCTGGCAGCGTCTCCCAGGGCGGCATCCCCCTCAGGCTGCGGCCTCACGTAAGGGTTCGACAGCCCCCTGCTCCACGGCCCCCCTGCAGGAGGCACTCCGGCGAGTCCACACAGACCACCTTCCCCGTGACGCCAGGGGCGACGCGGCTGTGGGGAACTGCCCGTGGCCTCGCCTTACACATGCCGGCCAGGAAGTGAATCATGGCACGTGGAAGTAAAAAATAAGACAGTCATCCCAAAGGAATGCCCTTGGAAGGTGCATTGTGACCGGGCAGGCTCTCAGCGTGCCTCTCGCATGGAGAGGCCGGGACGGAAAACCGGGCGCGATGGCTCACAGACTCGCTGCGTTTCTTGAGGAAGAGCCGGGTTTCAGGGCGGACGATTCCAGATGACGTTCAGTGCTGCCGTGGCCACCAGCCCCTCCCCTACACCTTTCTCAAACCCAGTGCCCTGAGGGCCCACGGCCCAACTCAGGGAGCCAAATGGATTTTGGCAAAGAGAGACGAGCCGAGCCGGAATCTCGTTACGAAGCCCAGCTCATTCCTGGCGTAACTGCTTGACTCCAGATGCCAAAGCACGTGAGACAAAAGCCACGGGAACAGACCCACCGCTGCAGGGCAGTTGGAAATGTGGGGTGCGGTGCCCCCCTTGGAGCCGGGGCCGGGGGGCGGGGCAGCCAGGCTCCTGCCTGCTCTCTTGGAAGGAAAATGGTCCCGGGGGCAAGTGGAGCACGCTGAGTTCAGTGCTTGCGTTCATCTACACATTTAATAAGATAAGGCTCCTGTCTGGACTGATTTTTTTTTTTAAACACACCTCTCTAAGTATTATTTTCAAGGAAATGCCACACAGAGAGAACAAAATGTCTTATCTTTCAGGAGCAGAGAGCATAATCCAGGACACTTACCGGAGGACCTGAAAAACACAAGCAGAGAGGCAGCGGTCAGAACCCAAGGGAGAGAGGTTTTATTTCACAATTAAAACATTTTTTCCCAATTATAGCTGAAACAGAATATTATATTAATTTCAGGTGTACAGGTTAGTGATTAGACATTTATATCACTTATGAAGGACCACCCTAGTAAGTCTCATACCCACTTGGCACCAAACATAGTTATTATAATACCAGAGGCCTGATGCACGACATTTGTGCCAGGGGCTTGGCCCTCACAACCCTGGCTTCGTCTGGAAGGTCATCCGGAAGGACATTTGGCTAGGCCACATCTAGCTTGTCCGATAGACTCCAAAACACACCGAGCCACCCCCCACAGGCCCGACTGGCACCATATCATCAGGGCACCAATGCCTCGCAGCGGGTTCCACCCTTACAGCCTCCTAACTGACACCTTCTTCTGGGCACCGCAACCCCACCAGCTACAGGTGCCCCACCCCTTCCCGGAGCTCTGAATTGCACATGGAATAATACCCAAACTCCTGCTCTCCTGTGAGCACCTGCTCTCGTTAGCGCCCACCCTCCACCTGTCTCCCTGGGTTCCCCAAGGGCCCCCGTCTTTGGCCTCAGGACGTTTACAGCTACCGTGTTCCTGCGCTGGAGGTTCCAGGTTCATAACCACGGCCTCAGAAAGCCTTTCTGTCAGCATGAAGCCTGAGGCGTCTCTTCACCGGTGGCCCCACTGGTTTCTATCAGCTCCCTGCCATTTCCTTTCCAGCACCAATCACACTCCTTAGTGATTACCTATTTATTTGTGTTGTTTATTGTCTGTCAGCCCCATCAGCAAGGCAGCTCCCTGAGAGCTGGGGCTCCGTCTGCCCTCCCCCCCCCCCCCCCCCCGTTCCCCACCCCTGTCTCTCCTGCCTCGCCCAGGGCCTGGCAGGCACGTGCACTTAGTACACGTGAGCAGAATAGATGAGGGTACCGGGCAGGCCATCCCCTCTAAGCCCTCCTCGCCTTACTTCACTCTTAGGGTTGTGCTGCGGCTGCAGTAGCCCTGGAGATGGGATCTGGGACTTGCAGAGAGCAGGGTACACAAGATGATGCAGGGAGGTGGGGGGTGGGGAGCGGGAAGGGCCTGGCTCAGGCTGTCCAGGGGTCCCTGTTTAGGGAGTGAGGCTGGCGGGAGGGCCCCCATCCAACCATGTGGCGGTCCCCCCCACGGCCCAACACACTCTGCACACAGCTTTCAAACACGTGTCCCAGGCACTGGCTGGGTCTGCTCACTTTGCTGTCAGGAATGCGGGAGCAAGCAAATAAGAGCCAGATGACTTGGGAAATGAATGAAATGAGAGGAGAGGAGAGGGGTCAATGCCTCTGTGGCCTCTTTAACTGAACCAATGTGGCCGGACAGGGTTTCCCACTTGCCCCTGGAGGTCTTCAGGGTGCACGAGTGGCTTGTAAGCAGAGGCGTGCAGAGTTTCTGGGGCCCCATGTGCTCACCTTGAGCTCTTGGCTCCTTCCAGGATGATCCCTGCCTGAGTGTTTCCCAAATGGAAAAGCAAACTGGGAAGAATATTTCCCACTGCCTGGCAGGAGCCGGACGGCATGCCGGGAGGTAAGGCTGGCCTTGGTGCCTGCGGCTACCAGGGTCACTGTCCCGGCTCACAGCCCGCTCCTGCTGTCCGTGCTGCACCCGGACTCCTGATGCCCACTTCGCCTGCTGCCTGCTCGGCCCAGGAGGCCCTGGCTCTGACCCAGTCCTCTGCCTCCCACCACAGGCTTCTGACTTTGAAAACCCAAACCCACCCCTCAAGAGTGAGCTTCAGTCATGCCTCCAGGGTTTCCCTAGTGGAGCAGAGTGAACCACGATGACCATAGGCTTGGGGGTTGGCAAATTCAGAGCCAATGATGAGTAGGTGAGAAAATCTTCAGTCCTTGGGATATGCAGCCTAATAAGAGTGTCTTTGAATACCTGGGGCCTTGGGCCATGCCAGTTTATGGCAATAATGTGAATCATGGTGGAGGTTTTGGCCATGCTGTATCAGTTTGACCTTTGGAGGGGTTGGAGACTGAATGATTAAGGTCAGCCACATGGGCACTCAATAAAACACTGGATTGCACGTCTCAAGAGAGTTTCCCTGGCTAGAAACATCATACATGCTGTCTGGACAACTCTACGGGGAGGGGAATATTGGAATTTGGGGTCCTATGTTCCTCTTAATTTTGCTGACTTTAATCTGTATCTTTTTGCTGTGCGAAGTCATAGTCACAAATATATATATATATAAAATAAATTTGGGAAGGCCCAGGCCATTCTTTCATATATTTTTTCTGCTTCTTTTTCTTGCTTCTCCTTTTTCCTTTCTTTCTTAGACTGAATAATCTTAATTGACCCATCTTCAAGTTTGCTGATTTTTTTTCTGTCAGCCCAAAGACTGTTGAGCCCCTTTAGTGAATTTTTCATTTCAGTTACTATACATCAGAGTGTCTATTTGCTGCTTCTTCTTCTTCTTCTTCTTCTTCTTCTTCTTCTTCTTCTTCTTTTTTATACTTTCTCTCTGTATATTGATGCTCTCCATTTGGTGGTACATATGCTTGAGTTTCTCTTTGATTCTTTAGACATGGTTTCCTTTAGTTCTTTAAATACAGTTAAAATAGCAAATATAATTTTTTTTGTTTAGCATTTCCATCTGGGCTTTCTCAGAGACAGTTTCTATTGATTGCTTCTCCCCCTTTTTATTGCCATACTTTCTTGTCTCTTTGTGTGTCTCATAATTTTTTATTAAAAACTGGGCATTTATAGTAATTTAATGTGACTACTGTGAAAATTAGATTCTGCTCCTACTTTTTAAGGGGTTGCTGTTGCTGTTTGTCGTTACTGTTGCTCAGTGTTTAGGGTTTTTCCTGGAGTCTCTAATGTGTGTATTCCTTGTCGTTGCTGCTGTTGAATTCCCGGCTTGGTTAGCTTATGATCAGCATTGATAGAAGTTTCCTTTAGGGTCTTATTCGGTAAGTCTCCCACTTGGTGCCAAGGGGCTTGATGGAGGTGGGAGCAAAACTCAGTGCTCCGCCTCTTCACAGCTCTGCTGCTGCCTTCGCTGCTGCCTGGGCCGACGTGAAAGGCCGAGCTCTCAGGCTTTTCCTGGACACGCGCACATCCCTTCACACGCATGTGCCTTCACGGTATGCCGGAGTCCGCCAAGCCCCTTTAGACATCTCATCACCTAGATTTTTGTTTAAGTTTTTGTGTCAGCTTCTTGTTTGTTCCAACGGGTAGCACCACGGCAGGCAGCTGTGAGGTTAAACAATGGCCGCTGAGTGTTTTTGGCAAGCGCTCTAGACACAGGGCTTTCCCGACAAGCGTGCTGTACGTCAGGTCAAACAAAGGCAAGTCCTGTGTACAAGCTTTTCCAGGGAGTTTACAGACATGCCAGAGAGGGACAACTTTCTGAAAATGAGCATTTGGGGACCTTCAGACCCGTTTGTCTCCTTCGATGGCTGTGACTGTTCACAGGTGCGGCTGTAAGCCGTATGGTTTTGTTTTAATTTTTATTGATTGATTGATGAGAGAGAGGGGGAGAGAGAAACATCGATTTGCTGTCCTTCCATTTATGCATTCATTGGTTGATTCTTGTGTGTGCTCGGATTGGGGATTGAACCCGCAAACTTGGCGTCCCAGGACAAAGCTCTATCAACTGAGCTACCTGGCCAGGAAGGCTGATTTTTTTTAAGGGTATGGAACTGAGCAGATGGGCAAATTAAAATGTGGCAAGCACTGCTGCCCTTAGCAAAATTTATAACTTTTTCTTGAATAAAGGGGTCGTTGCAAGTTTTCCATTAATTTCCATAGTTGCAGAAAGGTCCATTTTTCCTTAGTTTTCTTGTGCTTTTATAAAGGAGCAGATTTTCAGAGGTCCTTCACCCACCATTTTAGAAATTCTCCTTCCACTGGATTTTTAGAAAGGGTTTCTTGGGGTCAGGGTGGATAAAAAACCCTAGCGCTGAACCTGCCGATCTAAGGCTGGGCGCTGTGAGAGTCTGAGGGCCTCCATTTGTCTCCGCAGATTTAGCACAGCATCAGCCAAGCAGCATTTGATTGCTTCATCCTGGTTTCTTCCTGCATCCTCAGCCTTTATCCTTCATTGGCCCACCGGTCCTTCTTTCCCTCCCCCTCCTCTCTGCCCTCCCCCTTCCTGTCAGCTAACACGTACTGACCATCTCCTGAGTGCCTGTGGGTCCAGCCCCAGCTCCTGCCCCAGCAGCCTCTGCTTTGGTGGAGGAGGAAAGACACGTTTTCGGAGGATACAACCACACCAGGCTGTGCTGGGGCACAGGGAGGTGTCCGAGGCTGGCGGAGTCAGGGGGGGAGGAGAGGAGGGGGTGCTGAGGTTCTTGGAGGTAAGGGGGCACTTAGGAGGAGAAAGTATCTTGCTCAATGGCCCTGGAAAGATGACCTCAGAGGACAAGAGCAGTGCCGGGCTTCCCCAGCTGAGAAGCGGGCCAGCGGGGAGATGAGCATTCACTCCATTAGGACAGGCGCGCCCACAGACACTGGGGGGCCAGGAGGCGTTCATTCTCCAGGCAGAGGCCGCCCTGCAGCTGGAGAGCGCCCCCTCTCCCTCACCCCCCCCTCCCGCCCTCCCGCAGGCGAGCAGGCCGGGCTGGCTGCAGGTCTGCGGCAGCAGCAGGAAGGCCTCTCAGGCAGACACTGTCCACCGGTCAGGCTCCCCGGGACACAGGAAAAGGCCTGGTTTTACAAGGGAAGGTGCCAGAGCCAGGATGTGCTAATCGGAGGGGAGCATCTGCTCCGGGCTGTTCACACCATTCCCCGGCAGGCAGGGGATCGGGACCCCGCCTGGGAAAGGGCGTGTGGGGGGGGGAAGTGCTGCCTGACCCTTGCCCAATGCCGATCTCAGTCAAGGCACTTCTTCCTTTGAAGCCTCAGTTTCCTTATCTGCAAAACGGGGCCAATGACCGATGCTTATCTTGCAGGGTCTGTGAGGATTACTTGACCTGGGGAACTTGAAAGGACTCAGCGCACGGTATCAGGGGACCAGGAAGCCCTTATCTTCCTGTGACTTTTCGACTGCTGTAAGCCGGAGTCATAATTCTCACGGGATTTTTTTAGTAATTTGAGTAATAGTATACATTTCCCTAGAAAAAGGCACTTTGTGTTCCTCATCTCCTTCCAGAATGGATGTCAGGAGCTTACAATAAAAGGCAATAAAACATTTTATGAGGACAGAAACAAGAATTGAGTGATGAAATGCGTATTTGTAGGCCCGTGTGTGTGTGTGTGTGTGTGTGCGTGTTTGTGTGTGCGCGCGCATGTGTGTTATTACACACAAAATCTAGAGTACAGGAAGCCATGGCAATCAAACACAAAACAGCCTTCAGCTTCCGGAAGTCCAAGCACATGAGGACCATGACAGCATTTCCTACCAGGGCACTCTAGCGAGTTTACCTGGGGGCCCCTGTAGAAGGAATAGATAATGCAAGCATGCAGCACAGGGGGAGGAAGGCCTCGCCCAGCGCCAGGGAGAAGAGTCGGAGGCTCAGAGGGAGCCTGCTCAGCTCCCCAGGCCCAACCCGCTGGGGGTCCCCTTGGAGGTGATCCCCTCTGGCATCACACCACGCCCTCCCGGAGAAGCTGCTTAGAGGCTGAGCATGTGTTCATGCATGCATTCATTCATTCGTTCACTCACTCACTGTGCATTTACATTCCCAGGGCCTACTCTGTGCTGAACAGTGAAGACGTTGGAGATGCTTGCGCCAGACTTAAAGAATACCGAGTCCCTGGACTATGAGCTCAGGTAGAGAAGATGAGTTCCTGGGGAGAGGAGGCTGGGAGTGCTGGGTCAGAGAGGGAGGCCCTCAGACAGCCCTGGTGAGGCTGGAGGTGAGGACTCGGGGAGGGGTGATGAGAGCTGCAGGAGCTGTGGGTGAGGACTAAGAAGGGGCACTGTGAGGAGACTGGTCAGGATTTGGTGTGTGGGGGTCAGGGGCGGGGAGGGATCTAGGATGCTGCCCAGGTGTCTGCACAGGGAAGCGGGAGGCTGGAGGTTTCCTCCCTGCGCTGGGAGCTGGGGGGAGCGGGCTGGAGGAGGTGCTGGTTCACTGGGGCCAAGTCCAAACTCCAGAGGAAATAACGTAGCTGGAATCAGGAAGGGGCCACTGTCAGTGTCATGGGGGGGCCGTTGCCGTAGGAGTGGGAGAGGAGAGAGAAGAGGGCCAAGAGCAGGTTCATTTAAGAGGCAAATGGGGTACTACAGCAAAGGCAGAAAAGAAGGGGGTCAGAGATGTGGAGGAAACACGGGCCAGAGCTGAGCTGGGAACACAGGGTGGGGACGTGGGGTGGCCAACAGCGAGGACCAAGGAGGAGAATGACGGCAAAGCATCCGCGGGCGTGACCATCGATGGCGTCAGCGGAGTGGCAGTGAAAGGCCCGGAAGGGCTGGGGTGAGTGGGAGGCGAAGCGGAAGACAGGGCTGGTGCGTGGATGCTCTGAGGAAGCTTCTGTGTGTCTCGCGTAAGGGATGAGCAGAGCAATGCGTTTTGGGCGAAACGAAGATGGCAGGAGGGGAGGTACGGCGTGTACAGGTGAGTCTGCAGGTCGAATGGAAGGAAGAGTGTCTTCCTGGTGCCTCTGCCGAGGGAAGGGCAGGCCACGTCTGGGGAGGGACAGGGGCAGCAGGAGGAGCAGGGCCAGCGGACTGGTGGGATCACATCAGCTCCCACAAGGCCAGGAGGTGGTTTCAGGGTGAGACCAGGGGTTGAAGTTGCTGAGGCTGACATAAGATTCGGAGGGTGCTAAGGACATGGGTGGGACAGTCACTGGAACTGTGATGCCAAGAGCCAGGAAAAGGGGTTCTGGGCACTGTGGCCTCCAGGGGCAGCGGCTGGAATTAAAAGGGAGGACCTGTGAGTAATGAGGTGCTACGGGGACTGGTGCACCCAGCTCAGTCCCTGGCCAAGGGCACACTGAGGAACAAGAGAGGCTGGGACTCACCGGGATCACCTCTTCTTCCAGGCTTGCCACGCCGTCCAGGGGGCCCTAGACAGGAAAGCAAGGATAGACTCGTTGAGAAGGGAAGCCAGTGGGTTTGGGCACAGCCCGCCTGCTGCTGGCCTTGCACGCCCCCCCCCCCCCCCCCCCGCAGCTGCATCCTGGTGGCAGCTCTCTTGCCACCCTGCTGGCTGACGGAGAGGAGAAGTGTGGGGACAAACCCCTCCCTCGCCCCTGCTCCTCCCAGCCTTCCCCTGTTGGTTGCATTCTCACCCCTCACTCTCATTCAGTTACTAATCATTTGTTCATTTATCCATTCACAATCCCTCCGAAATAATAATAATAAAAAAAGGTTTATTATCTGGAAACTCTTGAGGCAGAAGAGTTTGCAACTGAGAAACTTCTAGATGAGGAGAAATAGAAGGCCGAAGGTGGGAGTTATGAAAGCCCTGACCAATGCTTTTTAATCTCCTCGGCGATAAAACATCAGCGACAGCACACCACATAAAGACACCATCATGGCATTTCAAATGCTTGAACTGGGCAAGAAGCGGCACTGCCCGACCCCTCCACTGTCCTGCCCGGGCTCGCCAGAACCCTCCGCCCCTCCCAGCCCCGCCAGCTCGGGCGATGCTTCTACATTTCCCGGATTTATTGCAGAGAGGGCAGCTTCTCTCCATCCACGTGGCTGGAGCCTTTCTGAACTGATGATGGGAACCATCTTGCCTTGGCCTTCATCCCCTCTGTTCTCTTCATTCTTTTCTCTTTTGGGGAAAGGTGTGCGGAAGAGAAGATGCAAGCACTAGATTACAAATGAGATGGCACTTTATATCTGTCTCTATCTTGCCCGCCCCTGCGTGCCAGGCGCTGCGGTGGGCCTGGACGAGTTAGATGGATAGACTGTGGCTGTATCACAAGGCACTGCCCTTTCTCGTGAAGGTCACCCCCCTCCCAAATTCCCAGAACGCCACCGAGGAGAGACAGACTGGTCATGAAGCAGGTCCGAAGCAGGGGAGTTGTATGCATGCACACACCGGTGTTTCCCCTTTTCCTCCTCCTGGTTTTTTTTTTTTTTTTTTTAGAGAGGAAGAGAGAGGCATAGAGAGTTAGAAACATCGTTGAGAGAGAATCATCGTCAATCAGCTGCCTCTTGCACACCCCCTACTGGGGATGTGCCCTCAACCAAGGTACATGCCCTTGACCAGAATCGAACTTTGGACCTTTCAGTCCCCAGGCTGACGCTCTATCCACTGAGCCAAACCTGTTTCGGTCTTCCTGTTTCGGTCTCTTCCAGGGATCGGCACGGGGCAGTAAAGCAAAGGCAGCTCAGGTCAGGGGGTCAGAAGCACTTCCTGACTTCTGTGAAGGGGGAATCCTGGATGGGGAGGAGGGAGGACCTCTGAGAACAAGTGAGAGAGAGCTGTGCAGGCCAGGCTCCAGCGAGAAGGAACTTCTTGAGAGCAGGATGGTGAAGCAAAATTAAAAAATTAAAAACATGCTGTTTTCTTGCACCCCTATGTTTGTAATTAAAGAAAAGTTATTGTGGTCAAGACCACATAACATAGAATTTACCGTCTTGAACCATTTTTAAGAGTGCAGTACGTTAGTGTTAACATATGTCCGGTGTGTGCACAGGTCTCTAGACTTTTTCATCTTGCAAAATGGGAAACTCTTTGTCCATGGACAGCCCTCTCTTCCCCTTCCCCCAGGAACCACCATCCTACTTTCTGTTTCTTTGCTTATTTTAGATATTGCAGAGAAGTGGAATCTTGCAGGATCTGTCCTTTTGTGAGTGGCTTATTTCTCTTAGCGCAATGTCCTCAAAAGTTCCCCCCTATTGGTGACCATTTCCTTCTTTTTAAAGGCTCAGTAAATATTCCATTGTATGTGCACACCACATATTCTTCATCCATCCGTCCAGCTGGTGGTGGATACTGAGTTGCTTCCACCTCTTGGCTATTGTGAATAATGCTATAAACATGGGGGAACAAGTATCTCTTCAAGATGCTGTTTTCAACTCTTTTGGATAAATGCCCACAAGTGGGATTGCAGGGTCATTTGGCAATTCTATTTTTAATTTGTTGAGGTCCGCCCTCACCGTTTTCCATAGTGGCTACATCCTTTTACATTCCCACTAACAGTGTCCAAGGGTTTCAGTTTGTCCACATCCCCACCAACATCTGTTATTTTCTGTTTGTTTTGTTTTGTTTTTTGGATACTGGCCATCCTAAAGGATGGGAGGTGATAGCTCATTATGCTTTTAATTTGCATTTCCTTAATAATAAGTGAGGTTACACATCTTTTCATATACCTGTACAGCTATTTGTACATCTTCTTTTGGAGAAATGTCTATTCAAGTCCTTTGCCCATTTTTTAGTTGGATTGCTTGTTTTTGTCACCGAGTTACAGTTCTTTTTTGTTTTCCTTTGGTTAATCCTCACCTGAGGATACTTTTCCCGTTGATTTTTAGAGAGAGTGGAAGGGAGGGAGGGAGAGGGAGAAAGAGAGTGAAACATTGTCGTGAGACACATCCATCAGTTGCCTCCTGTACCCGACCCAACTGGGGCTGGGGATTGAACCCAAAGCCGGGGCATGTGCCCTTGACTGGGAATCAAATGCAGGGCCCCTTGATGCCTGGGTCAGTGCTCCAACCATTGGGCAACACTGGCCAGGGCTGAAGGAGTTCTTTGTATATTTTGGATATTAACCCCTTATCAGATATATGGTTTGCAAATATCTTCTCCCATGTTGCAGGCTCAATCCCCAGGAGGGGGCGTGCGGGAGGCAGCCAATCAGTGATTCTCCCTCATCGTTGACGTTTTCTATCTTGCCCCTGCCTCTTCCTCTCTGAAATCAATTTAAAAATTATTAATAAAAAAAAGTGTTGGTGAAGACATAGAGGAAAGGGAACCTTCATGCATTTTTGATGAATTTGTATATTGATGCTGCCACTATGGAAAACAATATGGAGGTTCCTCAAAAGATTAAAAATAGAACTACCATATGACCCAGCAATTCCACTTATCTGAAAAAACCAAACCACTAATTTGAAAAGATATACACATCCCTATGTTCACTGCGGCATTATTTACAATAGCTAAGCTATGGAAACAACCCAAATGTCAAGCAATAAATGGAGAAAGAAGATGTGATACATATATACAATGGAATATTACTCAGCCATAAAATAGAATGAAATATAACCATTTGTGACAACATGGATGAACTAGAGGGTATTATATAATAATAAATGAAAGAAGTCAGACAGAGGAAGACAAATATTGTTCGATTTTACGTCTATGTAAAAGCTAGAATCAAAATAAATAATACAGATACAGACTCCTAGTTACAGAGAAAAAACTGATGGCTGCCAGATAGGAGGGTGTTGGGGGTTGGGTGAACAAGGGGGCGGGATTAAGTAGTACAAATTGGGAGTTACAAACTAGTCATGGATGTAAAATACAGCACAGGGAATGTAGGCAATAATAGTGTAATAACTATGTACAGTACCACATGGGTAGTAGACTTATTAGGGCGATCTCTTCATAAATCATCTAAGTGGCTAATCACTATGTTGTAACCCTGACACTAATATATTGTGTCAATTATAATAGAAAAAAAATGTTAAAAAAATTTCTGCATATAATTAAAAAATATATTTTGTTGATTTTTCACAGAGAGGAAGGGAGAAGGATAGAGAACTACGGTAGAAACATCAATGAGAGAATCATCAACCAGCTGCCTCCTGCACACCCCATACCAGGATGTGCCTGCAAACAATGTATATGCTCTTGACCGGAATCAAACCTGGGACCCTTCAGTCTGCAGACCGACGCTCTATCCACTGAGCCAATCCGGTTTTGGTCAGATAATCTTGTTTTACAAGTACTAGTGAGTGATCTGCCTACTCATTTCCAGCCTGGCCTAACAAAGCCCTCTGCTCCTCAGAGGAGGGAGTCAGGTCATTCCTGACTGGGCACGAGGTGTGCCCAGGGAACTGGTGCTCTTGGGGGGCACTGACTCCCCAAGAGGCTGGCCAGCTGGTGGGCTGCCTGGGCTGGGCCAGCACCGCGAGCCACGCTGTCCTTTGGGAATTAAAACCACAGCCCCTTGCTCAGCAAATACAGCTCATTCCAACGGAGCGTATGTCCCCGCAGGCATCCTCCATCACCCACTACCCTGCAGGGAGCTGATGGTCCCGAGCCCCGATGTTTATTGGAAAGTCCCACAGCAGTTTGAAAAAGCGATGCCACAGGCTGTCGGACCGTAGAGCACATGTTCGCTTAGAACCAGGACGTGTGTTCAGAACCAGCAACTTCTGCTGCTATAATACATGAGACAGGTCCCTACCATCCCGAGGACCAGAGGGCCAGGCCTGGCCAGCCTGCCTGGGCATCGTCTCATTCCGTGACCAAATGAACAGAGCCCATGGCGAGGTGAGGGGGGAGGGGAGCGGGCAGGTGGTCCCGACCTCACATGCACAGGGTCTCACACGTGGACGCCGGTGTTCTCTCCAAAGGAGCCGGCAGTCCTGGGCAGCCACGCAGCCCCTGACAGCGTTTAATGAAAACAGGAGTTTGGCGGCACCATTTATGGAGTGTTTGCGCTTGGTAGTAATCTCAATTCCATGTTAACTCATATCTGCCTCAAACCTATGAGGAAGGCCATTAGTATTATCTCCATTATAGACGTAGAATCCGAAGCACAAAGGGAGGAACTGATTCTCCAAATCCGACAGCTGTCGTGGGCGGGGCCTGCTGCCTGCCTCCCGTGGAGGCAGAGGCTCACAGAGGGGGAGCGGTTACCGGAGCCCACCATTTCCATAACCGCTTCTTGGCATTTATTACTATTATTATAATAATTATTATTATTTTTAAAAATATATTTTATTGATTTTGTACAGAGAGGAAGGGAGAGATAGAGAGCTAGAAACATCGAGAGAGAGTCATCCATCAGCTGCCTCTTGCACACCCCCTACTGGGGATATGCCTGCAACAAGGTACATGCCCTTGACCGGAATCAAACCCGGGTCCCTTCAGTCCCCAAGC